ATCAAATTTTCCCCAAATGAAAATAGAAAAGCTTTAAATCAAAAAAAAAATATACATATATATATATATATATATATATATATATATATATATATATATATATATATATATAAATATATACATATTTAAATTGTTGACAGAAACAAGAAAAATAAAAAAAAATAAGAAAATAAAAAAATAGAAACTTTAATAGAGAAAAATTATAAATAAAAGACCCACGCAAAATTAAATTGAGAATGGTCTAGGACGATATTCGTTACGCACAAAATGTAAAATGTATTTATTTTATACTAGAACATTAATTTGAATACGTGGAATTTAATTACGTGCAAATTATATTGAAAATTTTTTTTGACTATTACATTAATAATATTAAACAATTGACAATTTACGATTTAGAAACTATATACGTCAAAATATAAATGTATAAATACAAGAGAACAATCCTTTTAAACTACAAGCTTTATTACAAGCTTTTAAATTCAAAAAATAAATATTAATTTTTGATTATACGAGTACATTAAAAATTTTTTACATTATTTTGAAGAAACCTTACAGCCTAATCATGCATCTCACTTTTTCATATCACTTTTTGTTTACCTGGATTCTGATTTAAGAATTCTCCTTTTTCTAATGGACTTTTCATTTTATCAATAAGATCACTCATCGTTTCAATTGGATTTTTATATTTTTCCTAAAATTATTGACTAAACCGATGTTAGCTTCAAAAATCAAGTAAATAAAATGATTAATTTTTTTTATATATTTAAAAAAAAAACGAGATACGCAATAAGAAAAAAATTCTTTTTACTCAAAAATTACATTATACAAATATAATATTATGAGGCTCATTCATCTTCTTCTCCAATAGTGAGTAAATTAGCGAGATGCACGATCAAACTATTAATTTCAATTAATTATCTTTTGGATTTCATCGGACTCACATTTACATCAGATTTAAATACATTATACACTCAGCAAAAAAAAAGTTCCTATTGGTAATTGTTAATATTTTAAATAAAGTACAGTAAAAAGTTCAGATTTTAGTCAGTTATCACTAAAAAATAACATAACCGAATTAAATAATTTATCCTGAGTTCAATATCAATTTTAGATATTTATCATAGAACCAGATTTCATTAACTAAATATTAGGTAATTTTAATTATATAATTTTAAGTCCAAAAATTTTGAATAATGTTAATTATTTTTAATCTGCATTATAGAAAATATAATCTGGTAGCTTCTCTTCAAAAAACTAATATAAATTTAATGGAGAATCTCTTCCAAAAATACTAATTTTTTTAATCATATTTCAAATTTTTGCTCAGATAAGTAAATATTTGTTTTTTTTTTTTTTGAAGATAGTTATCAAAGGTATAAGAGTTTATTTAGATAAGCTTGTTTTAAATATGAAAATTGTTATATTAATCTTTTTTTCATTTCAAATTCAAGTCACACAAGAAAGTAAAAATTTAGTTGTGTTTTTATAAAAATTTTAGCTATTTTATTTATTTTATTTACATACTTACATTTAATACAGCTTATAAATAAAGGTGTAATAATTTAACCCAAGGTTCATTTTGGGTTGGTAGCTATTTTCTATTGGTACTATTTATATTTCAGAAATAAATCTCATTTTGACTAGTTTTAGGAAACATTTATTTGGAATGAAGGAATTTTGAAGAAGAAAAAATAAGTTAAAAAGTAAATTAAAATTTATTTTCTGACCCTGTCATCATTAATATCATTTTTAATATCACTTTTTTTTGTAAATTACGAATGGTTTAATTTCCATATAAACCTGGAAAATATATCAAAATGAATGCATCTAACCGTTTTTATTAATCGAAATTTCAAAATATATTTTAATGAAGTTGTATTAAAAAATATGTTATGAATATTGTATGTAATTAAAATGCATATAATCTGCTTGATTTTTTTTACCTTAAAAAATCTCATCAGCTTTTCGTATAACACAAATATACAAATTTCCAAAACGACAAAATAGAAAGTTATAAAAAATTGAAAATTTAAGTGATGTTAGATTCATATACTATAATATACTGTATATGAATATATACCCCAAGTACATAGGTACATAAATAAATATACTATTGCTGTTATAAATTTGCTTTAAAATATTTCATTTGGTCCTTTCAATATATAAAGTATTAAAAAAAATATTATTGTAAACGTAAATTTATTAAGAATTAGCTATTATTATTCATAGTATAAACCAAATTTTAACAAAAGTACTTGTTAAAGTATAATTATTATTTGCTATTTGTAGTTAAAATACCGGATTTATAGATTTTGTACAAATTTCGATGCAAAAAAAGATATATGTATGTACGTATGTAAGAGCATAATATTAACCAAAATCAAATCAAAAATATAAGGGAACTTTTTTTTAATAACTTGTTTTTTTTTTTCAAATAATTATGAGTCATACTATAATAACTATACATAATTAAAATTAAATGGAAATTCTTTACTAAAATCTATAAAATTTTAGTAGTTTTGTAATAACAGTTTTAAAACATTTCTCAAAAATTATATTTATATAGCTACATATGTACATATGTATCCTTTTTTAAAAAGATTTTTCCTTTGCGAGGGCGTTAAAATCACCACGAATTCAAAGATTTGCGATTAAAGTTACATATTTTTATATTAACAATGTACTATACATATATACAATTTTTATATAAAAATTACTAATAAATAGAAATACTGGTACTTACAATGAATTTCAATAAAAATAAATGAAGAAAATTAAAAAAAATTTTCTCTTATAGCACAATAACTTTTTACTTAAAATGTCTTGCCTTTCGTCGAAAAATCAATGATATTCTTTTTCTTTGTCAAAATTTTTATAAAAAAAAGCATTGAGAATGCGCTGTAAACAAAAATATGAATATTAGACAAAGAAAAAACATAAACAAACCAATAAGTCAAAAAGACTCTTTTTGTTATTTTATCAAATTTCAAACACAGATGTTTTTTAATAGCGTTGTTCAAAAAATAAAAATAAATCTACATGACAGTAAAAAGAGTGTTTATTTAATGACTTAAAATTTTGTGCCATAGAAAAACGCATTTAAATCAGATATAAATCAACTTTTATGTACGTAGTACATATTATTGTATTGTATATAAGAATTTTAATTTTAAATTTATAGAAAAATAAATAATCAAAATTTTTATGTAATTTTTATTTGAATTGATTTTATTTAGTTATAACATATTTTCGTTACAAATATAAATTATTTACTTTCAAAGAAAATTCTAATCACCAACGGTTAAATACAACAAAACAATAGGTCTGTCTGGGATAAGAAAATTTTTAAAAACTTTTAAAAACTTTATAAAGTTTTTGCATACAAACAGTCTGGGATAATACTTTTTCAGCAAAAATGAGAGAAAATAATGACATTCTCATTTTTGCAATGTTTAAAGTTTTTTCAAGTTTTGTAAAGTAAAATTTAGTGTTTTAAAGACTTTTAAAATGCTACAGCTGTCGAATCATATCTTTTTCTGGGTTATGTCAGATGGTTTTATTTGTGAAAAAAAATTTTTGATCAACAATAATTTTTTTTTTTGAATGGTGATGTTATTTGTGAGTAACTGAAATATTGTTATATTTCTGTTTTTGGATTTGCGCATTAAATTATTTACAAGACAGAACCTGATCGTCTACATAGCTATTTCACTCGGAAAGTGAGAAGAAATTGAGTAACTATCATATACTTGTACAATGTAATTTTCGAGTAAGAAGAATTATTTGGTATTGCATATCTTGGTTTTTTCTAAAATGAAAAAAATGAGTAATCTTATTTGGAAAGTCATTAGAACATACTGAGAATTCTGGTTTGAAAGTGAATAAAAAATGAGTAAAAAAGCAAAATACACGATCACGCTGCAAGATTGTAATTTTTACTAAGTTAAACTATTATGGGGCTTATTTATAGTCTGTATGTAATTAATTTATGTATATATGTATTTTTAAATATGAAAATTATTGAATTTTTTTATGAGAAGCAAATCGCTAACTGATAGTGATATTTATCGTAAAAAGTTCGATGTTATTATTGTAAAACGAACGAATTCATACAAAAGGTTTGTGTCTTTTTGCTTTTTAAAATTTTAAATTCGTTATATTTTAAGGTAGACGTTAAACTATTTTTGTTATTTGTTTTTTCATATTAAGGCTAATTTCGAGTATCGGACCACTATTTAGGGGTCCGATAGTGATATTTATTAACAGACTCCTATAATGTATATAATTTGATTTATCATACAAAATTTGATACTGTCATTGCAAACGGAAATCAATCCATACAAATGATTCGTGTCTATAATAAGATTTTTAATTCAGTTTTAATCAGTTTCAATTGTTAATCTAATGGAGTGGCTATGGGTGACGATGGGTTGTTTTGGGGCTGTATACTGAAGTATAATAGTACGTACTATATATGATATAATATATTTAGATTAATATAATATTATTTAATGAAACATTATGGAAAAGTTAAGATCTTAATAAACACTTGATTATGTATAGTTGGTATTGGTTTTGACTTGCCCTAGAATATCAGGTTTGAATTTAACATAAAAATATCTACGCATAACAAAATAACGAGCTATGTTGTTTGGAAATTTATTTGTCTTAGGCTTGAATATGCCTTTTTAACCAAATTTAGTATTAATTCACATTGTATTTGAAAGTAATGAAAATACAATTTTGTCATGTAATGATTTTTTATTCATTTATTATTTTAAGTAGAAAAGGCATCTTAATTAATAACTTTGTTCGTTGCCATGAAATATTTGTAATCTACAAGTAGAAATTCACACTTTCCTTGTGTCCATTTGAAAATATCTGAAAAAATCGGATTATTGCCTTAAATCATTTAAACAGGAAAAGCTTTAATTTAGGAATATAACCTGGAAAATTTGGTAGATATATAACATGTATGTATTCACAATTCGTAAAAATTAAATTACAGAAATAATTAATTTTTATTCAAAGCTTTAAGACATATTTTAACAATAAACATAATGTTGATGTTCAAAATAATGGTACTTGTGAAAAGTATATTTTTTTCACCCTTCTTGACCAAAATCTTCTGTAAACTTTCGTAGTTTTGTTAAATCTTCATCGTTAACAGTAGGTTTTGTACGTGAAAGTGACTTTAGCATGTCACTCATTCCAACTCTAGGCTCATATAGCTTTTCCCCAGGCACTTCAACCCATGTCATTTCTGTGGCTCCAGGATCTCCCGGGGAACATGGAGTTAATAGATCGTCACAAATAACTGAAGGGTCTAAAGGAGAAGGACCACTTACTCTTTTGAAATGCGTGGCTAATTGAACTTTTCGTACAGGCTCCATGAGAGCATCCCGCACAACAATAGATATATCGGCACCAGAATATCCATCTGTTTTTGATGCCAATACTTTCAGATCATTTTCGCTTAATGTATGCGCAGTATTTCCCAAATGAATTTTAAACATGATTAACCTAGCATGTTGTTCTGGTAACGGAATATAAATACGCTTTTCAAAACGTCTTCGTATAGCTGAATCTAACACCCACGGAATGTTAGTAGCTCCTAAAACAAGAATACCATCGTTATCGTGGCCAACACCTTGCATTTGCACTAAAAATTCGGTTTTAATTCTTCTGACGCTGTCATTTTCATTATCAGATCTTGCTGAACACATGGAGTCAACTTCATCAATAAAAATAATACTTGGTTTGTGTTGACGAGCCAAGTCAAACAAATTCTTAACTAATTTTTCAGACTCACCTAACCATTTAGACATTAAATCAGAACTTGATACAGAGAAAAATGTAGAGTTATTTGCTTCAGTCGCAACAGCTTTTGCTAAGTATGATTTACCAGTACCTGGTGGTCCAAACAATAAAATTCCTTTCCATGGAATTCTTTTTCCAGTAAATAAATGAGGAAACTTTATCGGCAGAATTACAGCCTCTTTCAAAGCTTCTTTTGCAGCTTCCAAACCTGCTACATCCGACCACTTTACTTTTGGTTTTTCTATAACAATAGCTCCTTCAAGCTTAGCTTGTAATTTTTTCTTTTCTGGATCCTCATCATCCGAATCAGAGTCGCTTTTTTTTCCTTTATCTTCTTTTGAATTTTCTCCTTCAGCAACAGGTTTTTTCTTTCCTTTCTTTAAATATTCCTTCAATTTTTCAGCTCTGTCTAAATACTGCAAACATTTCGCTCGTATTGAATCTTTTGCTTTATCGCCTTGTGCCTCATATTTAATAGCATGCAAAAAATATTCTACTGCATGTTCATACAATCGTAGTGCTTCAGCATAGTTTTTATTTTTATCTTCTTCTGTGGCTCTTGTAACCAAATCAATTGCTTTTTGTAATGTTGTACCACTAGCCATAAGTCTACTTTGTTAGTTTTCAAGGATTAATTAAAAATTACTCATTCGCCATTGGAAAAAATAAAGGAATTATAAATGACAATGACGTCAATTTTCTTCATGAGTAAGCACCGACTTATGAAAACATATTTATGTTTATATTCTAAAAGTTCGTTCAGAAATTTGCGGTCCTTTCAGGTGAAGTGTCATAAGCTACGTTTATTCACGATTAATATGCTATTTGTTAAATAAAAGTAGTGTTCCATTAACGCGAAATCTTTAAAAAATAGCTCAGTAAGACTTTTATAAATAATAAAAACCCTTAAGGGTAGGTTTAAAATAACTTTATAGATTGCTTCATTCATAAATAAAACTCAATTAGATTTTAATAGTAAGCCTCAAAGCTCATTAAACAAATAATTGATTTATTTTTTAACAATGTTAAAGTGTATTTTTAGTGAAAGAAAAGACTTTCACGAGATAAAACTTATCTTTACTAAAGCAACTGATTTGAATTTTATTTCAGTCTTATGAAGAGGCCCATTATTTTATAATTTACAATTAACATAACTTTTGAGCAAATTTTTTTGTTAAGTATTTAAAGTATTTATAATTCGCGTTCAATGTTTCACAGTGAGGCGTTACAAAAATGAGTTGTCTTGTTTGAAACGTGAAATATCCATTAAAAAATACTGGTTTGAAAGTGAATAAAATGCAAGTAAAAAAGTGAGATACACGATTAGGCTGCAAGATTTTAATTTTTAGTACGTTAAACTATTACAAACCAATTCATACAAAAGGTTTGGATCTATTTGCTTTTTAGAGTTTTTAAATTCGTTATATTTTAATTAGTGTCAATAAAGTACGAATTTACACAAATTTTTGATTGTATGGTAGATGTCAAACTATTTTGTTATTTGTTTTTACATATTGCGATTTACTCCGAGTATCGGACCACTATTCAGTGATTAAAACTGTATAAAATGTCTAACAAAAATATTTAAAAATCATACAAGGTATGTGTAGTTGAGATTTTGAGAAATGAATTTGAAATTGGTATTTTGTAGTTCATTTTCATAATTGAGTAATTGAGAATATAATTTTAAATTAAATTAATGAATATACACATTTAACCATAAATGAACCGCAATTTAAAATTGCAAGTTAACAACAACTACATTAGAGAGATTCTAATTAATTTTTAACGATTTTCATATACGACCTCGGTAACACTAGCATTGTGTCAAAGTCGTTTGATTTCAATTCTAAATGGGCTCGTATCGTCCTTATTACCGGAAAGTGACGCTTGTAGAAAAACTATTTCTATAAAAATTTCTTACCAATTTACAAAAAATTGATCTAGTTTAATTGCTAAACTCAGAAAATGTCTACTAGGGCAAGGGTTAGTGCAAGGCAAAAGAAAATACAAGAAGTAAAACAGGTAATATTGCATTTTGTACATATTTGCAACAAAATTTGCGAAAGTGCGCCATCTTTTTTCTCGAAAATTCTATTGATATTTTAAATTTGAAAGGAAAGTGCTTCCAAGCAAGAATTACAAGAAGAAACATCGAAAGTTCCCGCGGTTGTAAAAGAAAATAAGAAGGAAGAGTTAAAAAGCGAAAACAAAGATGAATCATGGAGTAATAATGGCGTCGGTGAAGCTGATGGAGACGGTGATACTAGTATGAAAGAAAATGAAAATGATGAAGATTCTCAAGAAAATGATGGAGAAAATGATGTTGATAAAAATGAAACGGTGGAAAATGAGGAGCACGAGGATGATAAAGCCGAAGTTGAAGAAGCTAAATTGACACCTGAGGAAGCAGAAAAGGCAAAGGAATTTAATAAAGCTGTTAGTGAAAGCAATATTGATGAAATGTCCCTTGATGATATTCTTAAACTGAAAATTAAGCTTAAAGATGGGAGTGAAAACTATTTATTTTCTCGTGGTCCAAAATATTCGGAAGAGAAATGGCCATTGAATTGTCACTTATGCCGTTTGGGAAATTTATTTACGGAAGAACATATACGCCACCATTTAAAAGGAAGAAGTCATGTGAATAAATTAGTGAACCGGCTTCCTATACCTAAATACTATAATGAACCGTTTTTCACCTCAGTACCGAAAGAATTTGAAAATGATAAGCCTATAAAAATATTCCCAGGCGAAGTTGTAGAAGAAAGTAAGTATTAATTTTAAAAATGAATGAATAATAATGTTTTGATCAGATGTATAATTTAAGTTAATGAAGAAAACCAAGATCGTGTCGTTAAAGCTGAGGAATTTGCTGCAAAAGAACCTACGGATGAAAAACTTCTTCGTATGCTTCAGAAAGAGCATTTGCATGAATATAATAGCAAATTGCCATTACTTGGTCTATGTTATATATATAAAATGATGGGTTTTCGTGGAATTACTTATTATTGCACACTTTGCAACACTAAAATAGAAGAAGAAGCATTCCAGCATATTGTTGGCAGTGACCATCAACTAAAATATATAGTAAGTCGAAAATTTAAAGAAATTTCCATAATTAAATACTTTCCATTATTTTAGAATCGTCATTTTCCTAAATTATATGAAAGAGTGAACAACGCCTTGAAGGAAATAAGAGGTGTTGATCATAGATTTTGCATTCGAAATATTTTTCGAAAATTTTATCGTAAAATAGAAAATGTCAAAGGTCTGCGAAAAATAACAATCTGTGACGATGAAGATTTCTTCAAACACAAAAAGCGATATTTGTTGAAAACACGATTTGATGAACATTATGGTGAAGATACGATAATACTTACAGATCAGGAAATTGATGTTTTAATTCGAAAAGTTAGAAATGAAATGCAATTCATAAAACCAGATTTAATTTCTTTGGAAAATCCACAATTAGGTTATCGCATGACTTTTAACGATGAAAGAGCTGGAGAGCAAATATTTGATGACATGATGGGGTATGTTTTGTGAATGCAGTCTTTATAATAATTAAAAAACATTCATATATAAGTTTGACGATAATTCGTTATAATTTTTAATAATTAATAAATTTTAGTAACCGTGGAAGTAATTATGACAATTATGGTGGAGGATATGATGGTGGTGACGTATGGGATAATTATTTTCAAGTACTTGAGCGAGAAATCGAGGACTTGAATCGACAATATCGTAACTATGATCGTTTTCCAAGAAAACATCCAAAATATGAAGGCGAATACAGCAAATATGACCAATACAAACAAGGTGGAAGTTCAGGTAAATTGTTTTAAGAAATTTTCCTAAGTAATTGATTTTAACATAAAATATTGTAACGTATGTAGTTCAAAAGTACAATTTGTGAGGCTAATGATATTATTTTTCTTTGAAACTGATGCTTTTTGATAATGCAAAAGTATTAGAATTTTTTAACAAGTTTTGCTTTTGAAACGACTTGGTACACAAAATTGAAATAATTTTTAATTTATGAGTTTTTCTATTAACGAGGGGTTAATCCATTATTATAACAATAGTATTATTTGTTCTTTTCTAAATTTTTCTTGGTTTTTCATATTGTTACTAAAAACGGAGTAACAATATTTAAATATTAAAAAACAAGATTTCATTATTTATTTCAAAATTTAAAATTCATTCTTTTATTATTCCATTGTATCCTTAGATAAAAAAGAGTTCAATATGCCTTGGAACACATTTTGGAAACGACGTTTACGCGGTTTATATGAGACTGATTTGAGTAAACGTAAACAACGTATCAAACGTCAACTTGGTTTGCGTTTTAATGCACGCACACCAAGTCCACCACCTAGACGTGGAGGTTACAGTAATTATGGATTACAAGGAAGCTATGGAGGAGGTGGAGGTGGTTATGGTAATAATTATGGGAATCAGGCTGCTGTTGCTGGTTTAAGAGAATTAATGTCAATGATGAATAATCAGCAAGGCGGCGGTGGTGGAGGATATGGTAATAATTATAATGCACTTGGTGGAAATTATAATAGGGGCGGCTTATCTGATATACCACCACCACCAGCACCACCACCATCTCAACAAAATGAACCTTTGGGTGTTATTTCGGTTTTGAGATTGTTTAATGCTCTTGAAAATCAATTGGGAAGTTTGGGCCCTCAAGCTGTTCAGCTTTTAAGCCGAGCAGTTATTGTTGAAAAGGTAAAATAGCTATCATAAAATGAACTTTTTTCTATAAATCGATGAGTTCATTAGTGAAATGAATAGAGAAAAAAAATATTTACTTCAGGGGACACAAATAAACAAAAAATGTGAGATTTACTAAAAAAATTTAATAACAAGGGATTTGCAGGAAAAATATATAAAATTTTATATTTTATGTAATTTGCTAATAGGTTTAAAAATTTTAAACAACTTGCACAAATTTTATGTAAAAAATTTTTGTCTATCCTCTTTTTTATTTGTTTTCTTTTTTTTTTTAAATATACTTAAAAAAATCTTGAGAATGGATTAAAAAAACATTTTGAAAAAATTTGCAATTCCTTAGTAAAAAAGAAATTACATTAACATCTTTTTAAGGATTTAAGTTTTGTTTTACGAAAAATCATGTTTTTTTAGTCACCTTTTTTTAGTTCAATTGTATACATTTGAATTAATTTCGTTCAAAATTAGTATCTAGGTAACTATTTTTAAGCGAATCTAAAATTAATCGTCAGTTTATAATAAATCTTTGCAAAGAATTATGATTAATCAAAAATCAAAAAATATATTTTTAAATAATTTCAATTTAAAGTTCCACTTACCTTACATTAATGATTTTGTTTTTTTCTCATACTATAAAAAAGAAGTTATAAAAAATTCAAAAAAAAATTTTTTAGAATGGGCAAAATCCAAATGATTTAATGATGGAAAGAGATTTTTATATATTTTTTGTAACGGCACGTGAAAAACTAAAAGGACAGTATATTGCAAACACAATACCAACACAGCTAATGAGCGCTGCCAAAAACACTATCCAGGATTGTACAACACTTATTGAAATGTTTGAAGATTTTTGTAAGAGATCTGGAAAAAAATTACCAGATACATCAGAAACCAACGTCCAGAAATCTTCAAATCAATGGAAATCAGATCAGGGAGGAAGTAAGTTTATTCATTATATGTTAAAATTATTTTTCAATAAGCAAACAGCAAACAATTTTTTGACTTGTTTTTTTCAGAAAAGCTTCAAATTTTCTGAAAAAAATTAAGGCAACTTTTCCAAATTTTAAAAAATGTGGTTAAATTTAAAAGAAAAACAATGAAATTATTAATAACGACATTTATTTATTATCAATAATATTACTAATATATTTTCAGATTAAAAATATCATAGACTTATTTATAAGTTTTAATTGATTAATATATTTTTTTTTATTTTTGAAGATTCCACCACATTTGATAATGACGATTTCTTTATTGGAGGTAATACTGGAGCTTATGCGAGTAGTAACAACAATGACAACCGCGGTTTCAATAATAATAATGCTTCATATGGATATTCTACGGGTGGATATTTGACAGGCGGGTATTCTACCGGAAATAATGGTGGAAGTGGTTTTAACCGAAATCAGTCAAATTCTAGATGGAATTAAACTTTTCGTTGTTTAATTTTTTTATATAAAAAAATTTATAATATTTTCACATCATCTCTCTAGAATTTTAGATTTGTGACAAGGGAGACCAAATTTAATGAGAAAAGGAGAAATCATAAAAATTATAAAATAACACGTAACTGTGCATAAGTCTTTGTAGTACTACTATATTAGTCTCATTTAATATTATATATATTTTAAGAGTTTTGTAGTATATAAGAACAATTAAAATAACTAAATTGCAATTTTAATTAGTTAATGTTTGTGAAGATGTGTATAACGAGATAAAATATAAATGATAATTTTACCATGGACAATTTGAGTGGCATTTATAATTAAAAAAAAAAAATACAAAATTGAATTTTTCGCTATTGACCCAGAATGTTAAAAATAAATTTAAAATTAACTTGAACATAAAAATTGTTTAATTTCCTTTGGATACTCAACCTTATAAGATTATGATTTTTATTACTCATTCGTTATGCAGGTGCAAATAATGTACCCAATTTTTAATATTTCATATTTCAAAAAAAGAAAAGTTTTTAATATGCAGAAAGTAAAATTGATTTTAGTAGTATTTCCAAAATCAAGTAAAATATTTTAAAAATATTGAAATATGTACATATGTATGTAAAAATACAGATTATAATACTTGCTGAAATGCAAAAACATACAGGTTCTAAGTTTCAAATATACATAATAAGTACATAATTTTGTTTACTGAAATGTTTGGTGAAAAGTAGAATGCAAACTTTACACCAAAAAGAGTATACGCACAAAATCAAATAGCAAGCTTTATTTTATTTATTAGAGAATTACAAGGAAAATTTTTATTTAATTCAAAGTTGCTTACGCTCAATATGATTAAAATATTTCAAGCACAATTTTAGAAAATTAGGCCGCTTATAGCTTAAATAGCCATATGTTTGAGTTTTTGACGAATCTTAATAACTTTGTAAAGCCGTATATTTTAAAAATATTGCCTAATAGATAATATACATATTTATAGTAGTTCTATTTTAAATTTTCAATATGTAATTTATTTTAAAAAAACAATTATTGCCAAAATCATGAGTTCCTAAAATAATTAAACATTTTATTTTTAATTGTAAACTTCGTCTCTTAAAATTTTACAAAAAAAGTAACACACATAGAACCAATGTTTTTGATACGTCGTCCATCCACTATTCAACTTCGTGTTTCATCACGTTGAAAACACGTTGATCTACATGGCCTCACACTTTAGCTTTATTTAAGCTTTTTCGTAGACACATCATACAAAAGTGGTTTATTACGACATATACCACATATTTGTGTTATGACCACTAAATTAAAAATTTTTTAATATTTCCCTGAATTGAGTTTCATACTTCAATTTTTTGTCCAACTAGTCCAAAATTCAACCTGTGGAAACTTAATAAATTGTCAAAAGACCTTTTGCTTTTTTCTTTAAAAGAAAATTATTTGCCTAGTTAACCAATTTACAAACAGTTAAGTTTGTAAATTGGTTGACTTTTTTCCGTGTTGAAAACTTGCAATGAACCAAGTTCAATATTGCTAAGGTGTCAGGAATTAAAATTTTTAAGTACAAAATTTTTGAAAATGGTTTTTGTGTAAACTATGGTGTTACACAATATCATAGTTGACACAAAATTTTCCGAATAGCTAAAACTACATTTATACAAATTTTAAATTAAATTTTGCTTTCATGGGTACGATATTTAAAATTATTTATTTCAACTATAATATTTCAAGCATTTTCCAAATTTCAAAACTAAAAATTTTTTTTGAATTTTTCCTCCCTTCTTGACTTTACCATTGAATGCTGCTAGCTTGGAACTGACATTGCATTCAATTTTGTGTAATACAGCCCATATATACTGCAATACTAACGATTTAGAAGATTTGAAGTTCTTGCAAAATTATTATTTCAACCGGCTACAAATTTCATTTTAATTTAATTTCCTGAACACACTATTTGCAAAATAGTGTAAAATTTTGACGTTTATACATGCATATATATGTATAACGTTTATACATACATATGTTAATGATTTAATGTTTTATTGTATTTGTTTTGACTCTTGTTTATTAGCTTGCATTTTTTTATGTTTCATTCGTTTATAAATTATTTCTAACCGAACAGTTGTCATTGCCATTCCGCGATCCCCTCCAAGCAAACCGACGAAATTATTGCAGTATAAAATACAAGAACCAGTTTTAAACATTCAAAAATATCACAAATTTTAGTGTGTACAAAATCTAAAAGTTCATTGAGTTCAAATGAGTGCTGAACATCAACCAAAAAAGACCAAAATGACGACAAGTTTGGATCAATTAAAAAATTTAACAACTATTGTAGCAGATACAGGTGATTTCGAAGGTAACATTTATTATACATATATTATTAAAAAATATTCCTAATAATTACATACATACATGCATGTATACCTTTTTTTAAAAATTTGGAAAAGTACAAAATTTCATTCCGAAAAAAATTCATAATTTTTATTTAATGTTTTTCGTATGAAATAAAAAACAGTGTTTCTAATTAGAATCTGCATTTTGTAAGTTGCTTTTTAGAACAGAAATGAAGGTCTATGTGGGCTATAAATTGCATGTGTACTTTGCTGTTTAATAATACATACATATGTACATGTGTTACAGAATTTTGTTGCCATGTTATTGAGATAAAGGACTCAAGGTTGATAGTATGATCATGATTTTATATTTAATGTACATAATAATATGTAGATAATTTTAATATAAAGAAAATGATCAGATGACTTATGGAAAAAAAAACCTTACATTCACTAAATTAAGATAATGAATGCATATTGCATTCAGTGAATTTTGAAATTTTTTTTTGCATTCATTGATATAATATTGAACTCATTGCTGTTTACATAGCTTAAGGCTTAAAGTTTTTTTATTTGAGGTTTTCTTTATCTACATACGTACGTATATATGTATATTTCATTCATGCATATTATGCGGTTTAACAAATATTTGTGCTCACATTTTTGATATCTACCTACTTACCAACCTCTATAGGCGAATATACTTTAATATATGTATGATACTAGATAACTTTTGTAGGTTTTGCAGTTTAACTTTTTTTATATTTGCAACCTTAATTTGTTTAATTTTTGCAAAAACCGAAATAAATATTCGGTACAATAATTCTGAACTAATTTTCATTTATAAATTTGTGAAGCGTAGTTATGATAAAGCATGCCCCTGCATGCATTAGGACATTATATAAGTACAAAAATAGGGTTTACCTTTTAAATATTTCCTGGAAAAATTCAAAGATCAAAAAATTTTTAATGTGATTTTTAGGAGTTATAACTTCAATGAAGGTACCACGTTCGTTTTAATATAAATTTACTAAGCCACGAATTCGTTAAAGTTTTTAAATTTTCATTTTTCCAAACTTCCAAATTTAACATAATTTGCAAAACAAATTTAAAATTTTAAAATATTTTAGCTATGAAAGCTTATAAGCCTACAGATGCTACTACAAATCCATCTCTTATTTTATCTGCTGCCTCAATGGATCAATACAAACATTTAATTGATACGGCTATTAAATACGCCAATAAAACTGGACAGTGAGTTCCATTTAAAAAAATTTTTAGACTAATAAAACAGATATACATAATATGTAAATCTATTTTTGCAGAAGTGAAGAAGAAAAACTTTCTGATGCGATGGATATGCTATGTGTACTTTTTGGTTGCGAAATTTTGAAAATAATACCTGGTCGAGTTTCTACAGAAGTAGACGCACGTTTGTCATTTGATAAAGAAGCCAGCATAGCAAAAGCATTAAAATTGATAGCTTTATATGAAGACATGGGAATAAAAAAAGAGCGTATTTTAATAAAGTTGGCGTCAACGTGGGAAGGAATTCAAGCAGCCAAAGTTTTGGAGAAAGAACATAATGTACATTGTAATTTAACATTATTATTTTCATTTTGTCAAGCTGTAGCATGCGCTGAAGCCGAAGTTACTTTAATTTCACCTTTTGTTGGTCGTATTCTTGATTGGTATGTTTCCAACTCTGACACCAAAACATTTGAATCCCATTTAGATCCTGGTGTGATATCAGTTACAAAAATTTATAATTATTATAAAAAGTTTGATTACAAAACTGTTGTAATGGGGGCTTCATTTCGCAATATTGGTGAAGTTAAAGCATTAGCTGGATGCGACTTGTTGACTATAAGTCCCAAATTATTGGAAGAATTGGGTAAAAGCCAAGAATCTGTACAAAAAGCATTAGACCCAGTAAAGGCAAAAAAAGAAAATCTTCAGAAAATTTCGTTAAACGAAGCGAGTTTTCGGTGGATGTTAAATGAAGATCAAATGGCTACTGATAAATTATCAGATGGTATACGTAAATTTGCTGCAGATGCTAGAAAATTGGAAAACATGCTAAAAAAAATGCTTTAAATTAAGCATTCAGTTATTCGAAAGAATTATTTTGTTAAATCGTAAAAAGACATATTCGTTATTCCAATCTTTCGTACAATTTTTTAAAATGTTTTATAAAAACATGCGTACATATTTAAGGAAACATTGTTATATTTTCTGGTGAAATAAAAATGGTGTTAAAGCATTTAGACCTTGGGTTTATTTTTTATACCTTTAAGTCATATAATGCAAACTGCATTTAAAAATTGTACCACGTGATTTTTTAATGCTTTAATGAACCTACATAATATAATAAACAAGACCAAAAAAAAAAAAATTGTTGCAGACGTAATTAAATTAAGATCAAAGCTTTTATTAAAAAAAATGTATGTGGTCCTTATAAGATTATTTGATTTTTTCAATTATTACGCACCAGTTACCTTGATCATAATAACTTTTCATAATTTCAATATTATTTAGGCGCCTGCACAAATTTTCTAATTCACTTTCTTCAAAAACATGATAGTATCTCAAAAAAACCTGTTTTGCTTCTTCTTCAGAATTTTTAAGTTTCCATGGAACTAAAATATCTTGCGCTTTAAATTCAGTCCTATTTGTGTGAATTGGTAAACTGAATGCGTTTGCATCTTCAATTTGCTTCGTAGTCTTTTCACATAAATCATTACCGCCCGTTTTTTGGCGTAAATAGCTCGATTTTTTAGAATCTGCACACTGGTTTTTTGCCCAGACATAGATTAATGCTTTTCCCCCTGGAGTAAGTACTCTTGCAATTTCTTTCAAAGCTTGAAAACGTCTTTCCTAAAAAATAGAATATCGAATAAAAATAAATTAGGTTTTTTTATATAACAAACCTCCGTCGCTAAGTGATGTATAACAGCTATACTTAAGCATCCATCCACCGACCCATTTCGAAACGGAATCGATAAACAATCACATTTGAAAATGTTGCACTTTTTTGTAGCGCATACCTTTAATAACTCTTCACTTCGGTCGCAACCTACTGTAACAATTTTATTGATTATATCTAAATATTTACCATTTCCACATCCAACATCTAGCAATATTGCTCCACTTTTAAAGCTTTCTATAAAAGTTGCTACTTTTGGCCATGGGGTATGGCGAGTTTCATTAAAGTGTAATGCGATTTTATCGTAGACTTTGTGAACATTTGCATTTTCAATTTGGGAAGCCTTGGAGCTGAATATATTTTTTGTTTCTTTATCTTTAATTTTACTGTCACAAAAAGTTTCAAAGGCACAATCACATGTTGTGCAACGTAGCTTTCTAAATGTTAAAGAAGTTCTCTGCTTCCTCGGTCTTACTTTTAGTGCACCATTATCAGAAGTAACAATGTCCATTACTCTAGACTTGATTCCGTGTGTCCTAAAATAATAATACAACTAATTACGTGAACATTGCAGTTACTTTTCAATAATAGATACCATTCATATCTAGACTCTCCTGACATAATTAATAATGATTTTTTGGGCAGTACAATTGAACGATGTTCATCCAACTTTCGAAAATTCATGACAACATCATCTTCCAGGGATAACGAAAATATAGGATCCAAAAAAGCACTATGTGTGTCAACATGAGGTGGTATGCCTTGGCCGACTTTATAAACATTAACAGTCAATTGATCTGGTTTATACCAATTCAAACCTTTAAATTTACTTTCAAGTCTCTCCCACAAAAAGTCTAATTCTTGTGGAATTTTTCTACTTAGTGGTTGAGTAGGATCCACTTGATTTGAGTCATATAAAAATTCATAGCCATAGTGCGTTACAATGCGATGTTTCATGCAATTTTCATTTTCCTTGGTCTTTTCAAGAAGGGACAGGATTTTAATTTCTTCATCGTCACTGATAAAATCTTTCAGTATAACTAATCCTGGCGGTGGGGTATCTTTGAAATAATTTTCTGTTTCAGGTAGGTTATCAAAATAAGACAAATACAGTAAAGCGCCTGATTGTCCAAGGTTAGATCGGGCATGCATATTGTTAAAAATATTTTGTGAACTTTTTAAATCAGCACATTTTAAAAAACAATATGATTTCAAAGGAAGCATTTTCAAGCAATGAATACTTCCATAGCAAGCTGCCTCTTTTAACAAAACTTCCTCTTCCAATCCAGTCGAGAGACCGGCGTTACAAATTGCAATGATCTAATAATATGCAGACATGTAAAGGATATACTTATTTATATAAATTTGTGCATTTAGAATACAAAACTTACTTTTGTTGGGTTTTCTGAGCTTTGCAAACCTGTTTCCTTTGAAATTATTGCTTGACATCTTTTTTGTTTTCTTAGAATTTTTGATATTTTGCTCTTACTTTCTGCCATGGGTAATGTTTTCGCTTAAAATATTAAGCGCTTTTAGATGAGCTAAACACCTTGATTATGGATTACACGTACATTATGTACATTGTATTTTGAGAGCAGCGTACATACATATTTTCAAGTTGACATAATTATAACCTAACATTAGCAATAATATAAATAGCCACACAAACAATTGGATTAGAATTATTAAAAATTTAAACTCATTAAATTTTTTCAATTTTCAAAATTATATTTCATAGATTACATAGTTATTTCTTGTTGAAATATTTTGCATTCATGTGTCATGACATTTTGTCTATTTTATTTTATATTTGGGTATGTAATGTATATTTTATTTTTTATCTGTCAGCCTTGATCTGTAATTTTGTAACATTATTTGAATGGTAAAAATATTGTAGCCACAATCAGCATTGCCATAAGATAAATTATGCATTACACGTACAAGTTACTTGCAAGAAAGTTGCAATGCATACAAAAAATTTTACTAACACATTGAAATATTTCTACTTGCTTGTTTACTTGCAGTTCAACTAGCAAGAAAATTTTGCTGCCAGTAATTTGAGCAAGTAATTTGACATATTGAGAAATTCACAAAAAAAAATTTGTTGTTTTGATTTTTTTTTTTTTTTAATTTAAAATTTTTGAATTTTGTTTTGAAAAAATTAAACTTAGCAAACTTATGGTTTCTAAAATTTATAAACAATTATAAATATTGCTAGTTGTTTTCTTCTCAAAGACATTTTCAAAAATTAACTTGCTAAACGCCTACGTCATAATAGCAAGTAATTTGACATTTCGAAAAACTAATTGACAATTAATATTATACAAACTTGCTTGCAAGTAACTTGTACGTGTAAATGCTGGGTAAGAAAATAATAAATAAAAAAAAGAATCGGTTTTAAAAATCAGGTCCTAAAAATTCTCACAAAAAATATTTGTCGCTATTTTACTTCTAAAAAATCTATTTTGAATAGATTGATAATGCAGAATGCTTTCGCATTTCTAATTTGAAACTAAAATAACTTAGAAAGACGCAGCTGCAAAAACTACAAATTTGACGTTAACATAAAAAAGTTTTTTTAATTGTGAAAATTATAAGATAGTTTAAATTAATCTAATGGCAAATAATAATGGCATTTACGAAAATCTCGCAAATTTGTGTTTGTTTGCTTTTTTTGCAAATGAAAAAATTCACTCAAAATTATTATTTTTTGTTCTCTTATTCCCAAAAATTTCAAAATATCCTCTCATTTTAAAATTTTTGCAAAAAAGGTAAACATAAAAAATGATTAATTTTTGATCAAATAAGTATGTAAAGTTACAAAACGCTTTTTTAATTTATTATATTATTCTTTACTTTTGTTTTTAGTAGGTACAAACTTATACATATTTTAACGTTAGAACATAAAGCTAATTAAAGATAATAAAACTTTTTCCGTTACAACAACTTTTTCAATTTACAAAACCGATTATCGAAATGTCTAGTATAACGGTAAAAAAAAAACTGCTTACAAAAATTTTTTACGAATTTAGAAAAATAAAAAACTACAATATTGTAATAAGTAATCCATAATAATGATAAGAAATAATTTCTCTAGTAAATCACATAAAATTTTTTTAAAAATTAAATAACAAAATAAATTTTAAATTTCACTTTCACCCATAAAATTAATAAACCATTTTAAAATTTTTATCATTGTATTAGCTGAATAAACACATAAAGGATATTCTGTATAACACATTTCTGATTTATTTAAATATTCTAAACCCTTAATATAAGCATTTTTAACTTTATGTGGTGCCATATGATAACTAAATTTTATGACCATTCCAATATTTTCAGCAATTGTTTCATTTTTTACTGCTCCAGCTGTTATTTGACATATTAAAGATTGTGAACATTTTAAAAAATCCATTTTTAAAATTGCATCCCAATTAAATTTTAAATTATCTTTAAAATTATCTAAAACTTCTTCTTCCTCTTTAGATAAACCAAAATTTGTATTAAATTTTGATATTGTTGTATTATTAGTTATCCTAAAGGAAGAAAGATCACGTTTTCCACGTAATAAAGCACGAGCAGCACTTGCAATTGCTGGTGATAACCTTTGTGCAACAGACATAATTTTTTGTATTTTCATATAATCCATGGCCAATAAATGCATCATATAAAGTGAAGCTAAGCCCATAGCTGCTAACATTACAAGCCTATATTTAAATTATATAAGGAATGTGGAAGAAATAATCTTTTAATAATTTCTACTAGTTGGTATATAAACTCACTTGTACTTTGCCATTTCCGGAAATTTTATTTTTCCTTTTGATGTTGTATTAATACTTTGGTTAACAAAGAGAAAAAAAATATTATTTTTGGTTATACAAATTGGTTTGAATTACTGATTTCATGAATAGTCTATAAAATACTAGAAAAATTTTTAGTTATAGTTTTGGAAAGTAACAAAATAAAGATGTTTGAATCTGAAAGAGGGGCACACAAATGATTTTTGGTCAGGAATAAAAACCAGATCTTATGCATATGTTCAAAAAGGAGGAAATGGAATCATTTTTGTTAGTGATATTATTTTAAATCATGTTATAATTAATGTAGGTTTTTAGAGAAACGATGAAATGCATTATACGATATACAAATGGGCTATTTTTTGCATTTGGTACAGAAATCTGGTTGAATAGAAAAGGATAATCGAAATCATTTAAATTTGACATACATACGAAAAAGTACATTTTATAATTACAATAATTAACTAAGATACTTGGAATGAATCAGGGCTACATTGGACTCTCGAATCATCACTGCTGATGTGAGGACCGCTAGTGTCACCATTCGCTCTTTACGTGACTGCCTTGTCGTCTCTGCTTGGGTCTACATAGTAATGAATGCCCCTCTGTACAGGTTATTTGATGGAGGATGCAATCTCCAAGGCTACGCTGGGCGGGAGCCATGCTTTGGGCTGCTAACGTTATTGCGTGCACTGAATGATTGGCAGGGTCGACAACTGGAAGGATTGTCCGGGCGTTTCGCATAATTTTATGTCTCCGTCTAGACTTGAAGTTACTTATAGATGTACTAACTGAACATTGTCTGTCGATGGTCCATTTGAAGAGGATGAAAGCGCAAAGGCATATTTGCTGTCCTTGAATTTTAACTTATCGTTTTTGTGACATTCATATTAGTATAGTTGCATCAATTAAATTAGAAAACATGTTAAATTTTTTTAAATCCAACTGTACTTTCACTTTAAATTTTACATTGTATAATTAAAATAAATATATAGGAAATGCAGAGAAAATTAACTAAACAATTCGATTAAACTCGAGAGACAAGGTAATGGGCAATGTAGATAAATAAGTTTTGATGAACTTTTAAATTTTTTTAATTATATGTATGTACATACTATATACATACATACACACTTATGTATCTAGATTTTTATGCTAGAGTTTGTGACACGAAACAAATTCATATAATATGTATGTATGTATGGTACTTCTTAACTTTGTATAGTATTTATTTGCTTTAATTCACAAATATAGAGTGAGGAGGAGGAATCTATTACAAATTACAATTTAAAATTGGTGAAGGATAAATATAATTAAAAAGTCAAATAAGTATTTGGAAATTACACAAAAACAATATAAAGTTCAAGTTCACATATTCTATATAATGAAATATTTTGACAAATATCAAGTACTTATGTATGAATGTAAGTATACTTGAATTTTACTTTAATTAAAATATAATTTAATAATAAATTTCTTTATGACTATTTAATTTTTTGTTTATAGTAAGTTATTGGCATGTTAAATTCCAACTTTAATTTACAATTTTTTAGTTAATACTATGCATCATAAGAGTTCCTAAGCACACATAATATAAAAAATAATGTACAAAACCATGTTCATGTACTCGTTGTTAAAATAATAACAGAAATTAATTCAATATAACCGTGATAATAAAGCAAAATGTTATTGTATTGTAATAAAAAAAAATTCCTTTTGGTGTTCCTGTAAAATTGCTTCAAAATATGTACTTATATGTATGTACGAATGTACATATGTGCACTTGCTAAGTAATATTTATGTAAATAAACTATTTGTGAATACACAAATGCGTTAAGACTAATATTTTAATGTACAGAAACTAGTACTTTATGTACATATACTGATATAATTTGTTGTTTATACGTACATAAACTGATTATACATAATATGTATGTTTTTTTAAACATCATAAACCTGTTTACATTTTCATTTAATATTAAGCATAAAATTGTATTGCATTCGGGTGATATATGTACATATGTATGTATATATTACACGTTATGCAGGTGTAAAAAATTTTTTTGATTTGACTCTTAAAAAAATGGCATACTGTACGTAGTAGATATGTTTACAGTTTTTCTTTCATATTGTGATGTGTATGTATATTTGATACTTATCAAAAGAGGAGTAGAGTACTCGTATAAAAGAGTGTTATAAAATAGAAAAAGGATAAATACAAATAAAACAATAAAAAAAATCAAAATTTCTTTTTTTTTCTTAATGTTAATTATAAATTACAAATAACGGGTATGAATTGTAAGTCTGATATACTATTTTTTGAGCAAAAATTACTGAAAATAATGACGTTATCATTTTCACAATACTCAAAGTTTTCTCAAGTTTTGTAAGGTTAAATTTAGTGTTTTAAAAACTTTTAGCTTTAAAAAGATATGTCCTTCTTTTGTATGTAATATCTATGTTTGATAAATATTTTTGATATATATGTACATACTATGTTTGATATACATATATGTACATACTTTCCATTTGATATTTACTCTTTATCACAGTATGCCATTTTTTTCTCTTTCTTTTTCTTATGTTTTATTTGGATTATTTATTTCTTTATTCCATTTTTTAATTTAATAAGAAGAAAGGGGAAAAAATTAGAGAAGTGGGATATTAAAGACTTATTTTGTTAAAAGTTCAGTTTTGCTTTATTTTTTGTATGAAATGGCCTTATTTTTGAAAGAGGCTTGAGCCGCTATCTTTTTTAAAAAATTGTTGTTGTTTTACCCTTAGGTGTACAGTCAAAATTTTTAAAAATTTTGGTTTTTTTTTTTTTAAAACTAAAACATTTAAAAAATTTTAAAAAATTTTGACAACGTTTGACATTTTGGTTTTTCTGACAAAGTACTGTCAAAATTTTTTCTACTTGTCTCTTTCTTTGTTCCAAGTATTGTCAAAGTCGTAAAAGGAACATACTTATTTATTTATTTGGCCTCTTTTATAAAATATGTGTAATTTGTAAGATAGACAAATTACAAATTTTTTTTAAAGCAAAAACTATAAAATATTTTAAAATATTGTTTTCTTTGAAATATTTATAAAAAATTCAAATTTAGAAGAAACTGTTTTTATTTAATTATTCAAATGAAATTATACTTATTCTATATAAAAAACATTATAATAAGCCATAGTTTAATTAAATTTCCGCTATTGTGCTAGTATCTAGAAACGATTGACATACTTTTCCGTTACAGATTTTCCGTTTTTATAAAAAATTTATATTAAAAATCCCAGGAAGAAAAGTGAAAGATAAACTGAAATATTTTTTACAATTGGATTATTTTAGCATATTTTTTGTGCAAAGTTAGCATGTTTTTTTCAATTAATTTTGGCAACACTGTTTACGTTCCAACAATTTTGACTTTTGTAGCTAGAGATAAATTTTTACAATGCAAAATCAATTTCCATTTTAATTGATTTTAATATTTTGAAAAGAAGTACAAATAAATTAAAAAAATTATACTCTTTTTGTTTAGTTTAATACATAAACAATCATGAATGATAACAAATCCGCAGGACAAAAATTCAGGGAACGTACTGAACGTTTACAGAATTTGCACAAATTACGAAATGAAGCACGGATACAAAATCATCAAGAAGTTATTGCAGAAGATGCTAGAAATAAGTTGTAAGTTTTTCCATTAATAGTGCTAAATCAAAGAATTGTTTGGAGATTTTTTTTTTAGACCTAAAAACTGGGAATCAAGAAAAAGGCAAGCCGAATGGATTTTGGAAGATGAAAGAGCAAAAGCTGAAGCTGAATCAAGGGGGGAAAATTATGAACGTTTAAAACTGTTAGATATATCAGCAATTGATGCTGAAAAAATTGAGAAAAAAAAGAAGAAGAAGAACCCCGATATAGGTTTTGCTAGCTACGAATCCCAAACAGCCCGACAATACAATAGACTTGTGAAAAGTATGCCACCAAGAGATATGGAAAAATATGAACAACAAAAAAAAGAATTAGGTGAAGCATTTTATGGCGGGCCAAATACAGTTTTACATAACAGAATTAAAGACTCACCTTCAGCAATAAATAATATGGTTAAAGATTTGGAACAACAAATTGAAAGAAGAAACAAGTTTTCAAGACGACGAACCTACAATGCTGATGCTGATGTAGATTTTATAAACGAAAGAAACTCTAAATTTAACAAAAAACTGGAGAGATTTTATGGAGAGTATACTGCTGAGATTAAAGCAAATTTAGAAAGAGGGACAGCCATTTAGTTTTGTGACTATGTTTTAAGTTTCAATGTGTGTATGTACATATTATATCTTTGGTTTTTTGGTAGAACAACTCATTATTTAATTATAAAATTTTACTTAATGCAAAAATACTTAAAATTTTTTACTCTTTGAATTTCGAATAAGAGCATTTGATTATTTTATTCAAATTCCAGGAAAATTTTATTGCGAAACAAAAATATAAAAATGATGCTTAACTGTAGTTTTTTTAATCATTTGAATTTAATTGGGGTCGACAAATTCATGAAAACGAAGAAAAAATAACATAGATATAATAGATTATTATACTAATGTTGATTAAAAATATGATATTTCCTTGTACGAGTTGTAATAAAATTTATATTATTATTAGATACATAAATATATGTACATATGTACAATCATTTGTATTATTCATTAATGGGAGAGCAGAAAAATTTAAAAAAAAATGTGTATTAGAAGAAGCTAGGATGTAAGATATTCTTTGAGTTTAGAACAAATTATTTCATTACTACAGATATTAAAATAACACTAGATAAAATTACAGGTAGATAAAGAGTTTAGAAGGAAATTTCACAGATTTTTTTGCTTTTCATTTACTCTATACAACTGTAAAATACTTTGTCTTGGAGTACAAGTTTCGTGGTAATATTAATATACATACATACTGATATTTAATTGATGTAAAACCGCTTTTTGTTTAATAACTCGTGTTTTCAAATTTATATTCTTGTACCTTGACATAAAATGCCTTTAAACGAATTCAGTATCGTAATATATACATAGTTATATTTATGTTCATAAAAAAATTATGCAAATCTAATTTCTTTAGAAGCATAGCAATATATCGAAATCATACAAACTATTTTGATTTTATAGAGTAGATAAAAATGTATTTGCATATTAATCACATTATGTTTTTGCAGTGTTGCCTTTCACAGTATTGCGTTTGTGAAAATCTCATAAATATTATTGCAAAATATACTAAAGAAATTTTTCATTTACTTTTCAATTTTTATTTAAAAGTTACTCTAAAGTTATTTCAAAAATTATTTATAACATTTTTATGTACATTTAGTTTTTGTTTAGTATTATTTTTTTATTACTTGACATTTACAATATAAACATTTATTTTACGGCGTACATACATACATATATACATATGTAATTTCGTCTAATAAATCATAAATATGAAAATATTAAACACAAGATTATTTTATTGTCTTATGATATAATCCATGAGTGAACAACTCCTGAAAATAAAAAAAAAATTATATTAACAAAAGAAAATAGCTTATATTATTTACGTACATAGTATATTGTATAGTAAGTATATGTACATTTATATACATACACATGTATGTATGTATATGCAATAGTGAAAACTGTTTTGAAAATAAGTTGCTTGAAATTTTAAATTTTTAAGGGGATAAAACTTAATTTTAAAAAAAATGTTACAGTAAAATTATTGTAGTAAAATATAAAACACAAATAAAATCTCAATTAAATAAAAATTAGGAAAAAAAATTAAAAGTGTTAAATAAAAAAATATTTGTGCATATATAATAATTATGTAATTGGGTAGTTAAAGGAAAAATATTAAAATGTAAAAATTAAACTCATGCTTACTATTTTCTCCTTGTGATAAATGAATATGAATGTTCTCATGTGTAGAAACCATTGAATCTATGTATGTTTTTTATACACATTATGTTTGTTTGTTTTGAAAAATAAAAAAATAAACATAATTATCATAAAAAGAACAATAATTTATTTTTTAAAAAAATAAAAAAAGGCTATCATATATGTGAGTATGGTTGTACAAAAAATTTTTAAAATTTGAGTTTCATGAAAATTTAAGAAATTTCCTATTTTAATAATTCATTTTTTCAATTGTTTTTATTTTTAGATTATTCGACATTATTTAGTATTTTTTATGTATTAGATCAATTTTAATTTAAAATTATATATTTGATTAAAAAGTTTTCAATTATCAAATCAGACAATGTATTCGCTCGTACATTAAAAAATCTAAAAGTTAAAACTTCATTAAAAATTTTTTCAAAATTCAATTTACATATTATGCACATATTTTAATTTGTTCTTCTGTTTTTTTCTTGGCTTTCAACTTTTTGAACTTGTTTTAAAATCGCCAATTTTATTTGAATTAAATAAAAATATCTTTTGCCAAATTGGTCTTGAAATTAAATTGTTCAACCATTATTCATAAATGTTAAAATTATGATGTATATTAGGATGTATTAATATTTTTGCACTTTATTATACTAACAAAAAAAAAAGCTAAAATATGGGTTAAAAAGCAAAATGGATAAAAGGTAAAAACGATAAGAATAAATGAAAATTTTAAATTTTATTTAAAATACAACATTTTAATCGTACACATAGTATTAAATTATAATCAATTTAATATTAGATTGTATTATATATATATGTATATATTAATATTATATACTATTTACTAATTTTTTTTTTAGATTAGAGCAAATAAATTTATATAAATATTAACGAAATCAATACATTTGCTTTATTTTTTATTTCTCTTACATTAATATTATATAAGTTAACATAATTTTCAACTTGTTATTTTAATCATATGCATTTAAATAGAAGTATTCGTTTGAAAATAATTAAAAATCTTAATTTAGTTTAAAGCTTAATTATAATAAAATTTTAATTATATAATTTTGTATTTAATTATAAATTATTTAATAATTATTTTATATTTAAAGACAAATCAATAATTTTAATTCATTCAAACAAAAACTTCAATTTTTTAAGCATAAGACGTATGGTTTACAAATTCGTATTTTGTATTATGAAAGATTTTATGCTTTAAGTAATTTTACGGTTTCATTTTTTTTAATATTTAATTAAATTTACAAATAATTAACATGCAATTTTTTTTTAAATATTTTCAACTTTACTTTCTTTGTTTATGCTAGTTAAACTATTTAATTATTTATTTGATTAATATCACATAATGATTTTCAGAGATGATGTTCATTAATTATATGTTATATTATATTATTTATATTATATTATATATTATTTAATATATTTGATATTGAATTGAACTTTATTTTCAGTAAGCAGCTTAGTTATATAATTACAAATTTTTTGTCGCATTGGAAATTGTTTGCTCTTGTTTTTCTAAAGTTCACTTAGTGTATATTTTTTAATAGTTATAGTAATTGGACGGTAAAATTAGAATTCTTGATTTTATGCATAATTTTCAAAAAATTATGCATAAACGACATGAGGAAAATAGAATAGATTTCAATTGTGTAAAAATAATAAAATATTATTGTCAAAACAATTTTAAGTTAAAAATTAATATTACTTTTTTTACATTCTTAAACTGTTCTGGTCTAAATTTAAATTTAGAACTAATTTGAAATAATTTTTTAAAAACTGTTTAGAGCCTTAGTTTAGAGAAGGACAAATAATACATGAATTACATTTTTTACAAAACTTCTAAAATATATTCAGACCATCCGTGTCGCTATATTTGCAATAATTGTTTTCAACAGCAGTTTTACAATATGAAAAAAAATGTTGCTTTATATTTTTCTAATTGTTTTATGGGCACTTTTTCTAATAGTTAATTTTCACATACTGGAAATTGTGAAAACAATATAATAATTTTTCCCAATTTATTTAAAAACTTGCTTATTGCTATATTTTACAATATTATATCACAAAATTATTAAATGTTTTTATGAAAAAAAAGAAAATGCATATTAATTTATTGCTACTATATAAATTCAATTTTAAACAAAAAAACCTGCAAATGAATGATTTTGCTTCTAATATTCGCTGTAATTAAACTTTGCTTAATTGTCATTAATGTGAATAAGAAAATAAATGTAAGAATCTTCAAAAAAATTCTTTACCAATTTATTGTAAATTTATTTAGTGCTTTTAAAAGATTTATTCATTTGTTTAGAATTTTTTTATGTTGATTTTCTGAATAAAATGCATATTTTATATTAAAAATTAAAAATAAATTTGACAAAAAAAATAATAATGAACTAAAAGTAAATTCAAATAAAACTATTTAATTTTTGTTATAAGCAATTATAAGCAGTTGATGGCAGATTATTATTTTCAAAACTGGTATTATCAACAAATGCTGCAGAATTAGTTGATATTGTGGTTGATGTTGTTGTTGCCGTCATTGTTGTTGTTAATGGTGGTATCGTTGAAACATTTAACGTACCACCTATAATATTATTATTGTTGTTAATATTAGGCAAATTATTATTATTACTATTAATAAAGCTCATATGATAATTATGATTACTATTATTATAATTAACTAAATTATGATTTGAAATAGCATTTAATGTACCAGGAATTTCTCTATCGTAGTCACAATTTTCACATCTAATCATTAATGGATTATTTAGGAATGTACAATGTTTGCAAGACCACTGTGGACCATCTTCATCAGTTAAATTTTGTATGTTTGTTGTTGCTGTATTATAACCCAAATTTGTTGGTGCTGATGTAGATAAATTTCTTCCAGCGTTTATGTTTGATGATAAGAACGACGATGACGTGAGTGACATCGATGATGGAGAATTCATCATAGTTTCATTATTAGCTGATTGTAAACTCGTTATATGTGTTAACCGTGGTGGTGGTGGTCGCGGTGGCCTTTGTCTTATTTGACTACTACTGTTATTATATTCATTTGCAATTGATAAATTTTGTTGACCTAAAAATATACAATTTCATTTAATTATATTTCATTTCATGATTTAATATTTTCATATGATTTAAATGTATGACGTTTGTTTTGTAAATATTAATTTACATAAATAATAAGTTCAAACAAAATATGTGACATATCTTCCAAAAAAGAATTTTACATATTTTAAATTGAACTTGCGGAGGTTTACATATTATATGTATGTTATTTCAGGATACATTTTGTTGACTAGTATATTTGTAATATTAGTAAAGTATTTATGCAAAATAATATGTGTATGTATTTAATTTCATAGTTACGTATATTTTTTACTTACCAACTAATCTTTTTGAATTTTCAATTTCATTAAAAAGATGCTCACAATTACTACGCAGAATTTCAATATCATAATCCAGTCTTTCAGATTCACCAGGGGTTTCTGGTGATTTTAAAATATGTATTTCCTCTTGAACTTGTTGCAACTTTTTACGATTTTTTTCAATTGCTTTTATTAATTGCTCCTTTCGAACTTTTTGACGTTCAACTAATTGAAGTTTTACTAAAAATAAAAAATGATATAAATGTATACATGTATTAATATTTGGTATTATTTCTTGTATTCTAAAATGAATTTACATAAAATCATAGTCATAATTAAAAAAAAGAGCAAAATAGTTTTGAGTTCTTCTCCTTTTGTAGAAAGATTTATATTAGCAAATATGTAGAAATTAAAGCTTATTTTGACTGATAAAAACAAAGTATATATTTCATAATAAAATTCAATAAAATCAATTTGCAGTCTTTGAATATAATACGATTAGATAAAAATATTATCAACGTTTATTAATTTTGCTGTATTAATATTAACAATACCTTTAAAAAAAGTGTTACCGTGTATTAATTTTCGAAAGATAGCAAATACATACATAATATGTATACACGCTTATTATACATGTATGGACATAATGTAAAATTACCAAAATTTCGTCATTCATAAATTTTCTTGCAGTAAAACTGAACTTCAAAATGTTGCTTGTACACGTGTATGTATGTGTATGTAACTGACGTCTATATTATATTGCCTAGTTTAGCGACAGTTTTAAAGAGGATTATGAAAATGCCTTTTAAACACTTCTTTATAATTTTAGGAAAGTGAGTAAGCTTATAGTTAACATATCTAAAAAAATGAAAACGAGTTTCGCTTTGTACTGAATTCTTTGTGTTAATTTTGACAACAATCACAACTCAAATATTAATAAACGTAAAATCGGACATAATTTCGATTTTCGAATCCTAATCTTTCCATAAAATTTGTAAGTTCATTGTTTTAATACCACGAAGTCAAATGTTCAATTTCAATAATTATTGATAAATAACAAGTACCGCACATACGAGTATGTATTCCAGAGAACGAACCATAATTCAGTTTTTTATAACAGAGTCACAAAAAATATACAAAGTGTTACTGTAATGATTTAAAAATTTACAGTACATTAAAAATTAAAAACACAGTTGATCAATTTGTGTAACACTTTAGAATATTTTACAAAAATGCAATTCTCTTTTTATATTGCAATACATATTGAGATTTTACATAAAATTTTTATTTCAACATAATTTGATTTATAAATATTTAATATTTTAACAAAAGACTTTTACTTAATTTTTTTCTACTGCTTTAAGGTTTTTTTTCCGCTAATGGCAGCAAAATCATAGATCGTAGAGTTCAAATTTATCCTTTAAATTTTTATTAAATTATTTAAATGCAGTATAATATGTAAGTACATACACATATTATACGTAGTGTAAAATTTTTACTAATCAATAATGATCGGTGAACTCAATTTTTTCCCTGAACTTGAATATTTATGTTTTTGAACGTGTGTGTTTATTGGTTAGTTTTTTTTTGTTTTTATCGTTGTTATTATATTTTCCTTTTCTTTCTTTGTTTTATGTGGGTGAAATATAATAGGGTAGGTCGGTCCATAGATTTTTATTAAATTATTAAAAATAGAAATAAGTTGTTATAAATTTACGAAAACATAAAAACAATATTTTTAATGATTATGGATTATATTTAAAAAAATTTGCAATATTTGTTTAACGTTGTCTAAATGGAAAAAGAAAAAATAATTAAATTATCAATTCCAAATTTGTAAACCTTCCTTTTCTATGTGAAATAGATTAGAACAATAATTCTAGCATATTTCTATTATTGGCATGTTATGAATTTTCAAAAGTTTTATTAATTGAACCAGTATATGCGAATTTTATTTTTTTTATCTTATATAAGTATTCGTATTTAACCTTGTAATGTGATGAAGTACCTACTTAGTTTGATAATATGCATTTTTTTATAAAATTTATAATTTGTAACAATTTCTGTATTCACAAATGAAAATTTCTGTTGTAAATTTTATGAAATGAACTAGTTTAACGAAATTATAAAAGTCATACAAATTTTTTTTATATAACATGTATAAGTATTAGATTTTTAAACTTTTATTTTTTATTTTTTTTTGTGAAAATTTGTAAAAGTTGAGTAGATAATTATTATTTATTGTATATTTGGACATAAAATAATATATATGTATGTACAAACAAAAATACATTTAAAATTAAATTTTTTTTTACAAACTTATTCATTATTTTATCAAAAGAAAAGCCTTCGCCATGTTGTAGTGACATTTCTATTTACTACAAAATAACATGAAAGAGCAAAAATTTTAGACAGAATTCCAAAATATTTTTAGAAAACTATAAAACTTTATATATAGAACATATATGCATACATATATATTTTTGGTTTTATTTTAAATACACCCTAACCTATAACGTTGTTTATTTTCCTGTGTGACGTCATTAATTTTATAAATTGCATTCTTTTAAACTATTTTTAGCATAAACAGAAAAAGAAAACAAATTTTCTCTTTTAAATAACATAAAAATGTTAAAAATAAAATTTTCATTATACTCTTTTGTTATTTTTCGTTTATTTTTAAATAATATATAAAATTAGTTTTTTTGAATGAAAAGTTAAAAAAAAATTCTTTTTCTTGTTTTCAATTTTAATAATTATTTTTTGATGTTTATGCTTTTTATATTTAAGTTTAACATAATGTTAAATATAATAAACAGTTTTGTAATATACAATTTTATTGATCTATCACTATCATAGTATCGTACAAACATAAACAAAATATAATCATAGTATTTTTTACAAAAATTCAATCTAGAAATTAAAATATGTAAACGAATTTATTTTCACTACTAAATAAACGGTATTAGTATTGCAAGTTATTCAGTAATACAATCTTTAATGTCAATAATTGTGGCAGACACAGCTTTCGCTAGAACTAAAATAAAATTGAAGACTCCAACGCATTTATCTTTAACATATTGTTGCTTTAAACATTTTATGACAATAATGTGATTTTGAATTTTGAAGAGAAAAGCGAGCAAAAATTTGTGCCACCAGTTGCGAAACATAATTACGAGTTACAGAGAATTTAATTTGTCTCTAAAACTGAAGTTCGTAAAAAAATGAAGGCAAGAGAATTTCAATAACAAAGTACATTTAAGACTTCAAATATGATTTTCAACAATATTCGCTCAAATTTATTTAAGTTCTGAAGGTAACGAGGAGCGGTTCTCTTTGAGTTTTTCTTTGTTTCTTTTAGAGAAAAAGAATGATTAACGATATGTTAATAAATTGGGTTTCCTATTATAAAATGTGAATGTGTAATGAACTCAATGTTCGGACGTCTAGCCAAAATTTTGTTAACGCATAAAATTTCATATCTTGATTGAAGATTCATTCTTGATTAAAGCATGAAGCGAAAACACACTTATATGAATATACTTATAATCGGTAAGTTTGTGTCAAATATTTTTAATTAGACACATAAATTCTTCGAAATTAACTGTAATCGACACTTCTGCTTGTATTTAAACCTATTTTCGCAATTGTGTAAATGTAGTATATTATAGACGTTAAAATATTGAATGGAATAATTTTGTATGTACATATTACATTAAAATTATCTATATGAAATACATAAGAAAATTTTCTCGTCATAGCTACTGAAACAAAAAACTCATCGCATAATACGCGAAACGTTATAACATAACTGCAGTTAAATATTTTTTGTAAATTTCTTAATATTCCATTTTTAATTCGTTAAACATTAATATTTATGTGTCTATAAACATTTATATAACATTTACGATAAAAATACAAATAAATATTGGATAATTTTTAAAATTAAAATTTTTGGGAATCGAATTTGAAAGTAAATTAAGCAATAAATCACTTATAATCAAATTTATGACGATCTAACACCTTAACGAAAATGTATTTCAAATATTTAGTATTACAAAAGGTTCAAATATAACTAACATTGTACTTTCACTAGATTTAATCAACTAAAATATCAATTATAATATTTTTTCTAATTTAACACTCACCATTATTTTTTTGTTTATCTCTTAAAGGTGAATCAATTACAACATTTTTATTAAATTTATCACAAGTACTTTGCATTATATTTTTATAGAAATTTTGTTCTGAGGTCGCTGGTCTCAGCATATTTGGTGGTTGATTATTTCGAAATTCTTCTTCAGAATGTGGTATTGGTTTCATAGGAAAACTTTTTGGCCTTATGCTACTTGCCCGAAATACACCGCCTTCTGCATTAACGCTTATATGAAAATTTTTTTGTACCCCCAGTCCAGCATCAAAACTTGAACTAGAATACGATAAACCTGGGCCAGCTGTGATATCGATCGGAGATTGTGGAGTATTGGTTGGTTTACGTAATGTTAAATTTAATGATGTATAGCTTCGTTGCGATGGAGTAGAAGAAGGATTATTATTTTGTATCATAAAATCACGAGTGTATGGTGGTTCAGGTTGAAGTGTAATAGATGTTATCCTTCTTGGTATTTGTGGCTGAGCATTTTGTCCAATAGTTGTTGTTGCCGCTATCGTTGACATTCTTGAACGCTCTGATGTTGGTGATAAAGAAATATTAACTGAAATTTCAGATTCAGTTGAATCCGAGAATGGACTTTGTATTGACGAGCTGTAACTATGATCGAAATTTGGAAAATTTTGCTGATTTATTAAATTTTTTTGAGATATTGATGTTGTTGTAGGTGTGGTAGTATTTTGAGACGACGAAGAACTTAACGGTGTTAGATTATCACCCGATGGTGACATAATTGAGACTGGTGGTGCTGGAGCCTTGCGAACTGGTTTAAGTTGAACATTATTTGTCTTATTAGTTGCGGACTCTTGAGCCTTATTTTGTTGAAATCGATAATCATTTGTAATTGGTTCACGAAACTTTAATGTTGTAGGTCGTTGTGGTTGCGATGGAGGTAAAATATTTGTTCTATTATCAATTATAGATGTGACTGTGTCCGCGCAAGTATTAGAACTTTTTTGTACAGACTGTTGTTTACTATTAAAACTATTTTTTGTAAGATCACAATTTATATTTTTTAAATTAATTTGGGGAGCAGGAGCTGGCCGAATCGGTTTAAGAACCTTATTACTATTATTTGAGTTAACATTCAAATGAGGTTGTTTATCAACATTATCATTTGAAAAATTTGTTTCATTTACAGCATTTACGTTTTCCTGCTGTACAAATTGTATTGGTACTGACTGAATATTATTTGGACTTTGTTGAATACGAAGTGCATTTGAAGGATAAGATTGTGATGTTGTTGAATATAAATTTAACTCATTTTGTAAGCTTCTTATGCAATTTTCACGATCGTGACAATTGCTTATAACACATTGATTAACGATATTATCAGGTACAGTTGGAAATTTTTGTTTCATTTCATGAAATAAGTGCATTATACTTATATTTGTACAAGAGCAATCGTTTTTGCTTGCAATTTTTGGACATCGACTTTGTTGTTTTGGTTGATCTTTTAACAAAGAAGTATTTGGTGTATTATTATAACTTGAATTTATTATTGTGGATGAGTTCTCTTCCTCTTCTTCTTCTTCGTTATTCGATAACTTTAATTCCGGCGGCCTTGAAGGTCTAGCCGCCATTTTTTGCCATCATACAAGGAATTTGTAACCTGAAAAATTTGATATTCGTTATAAATACTTAAATCAATTTTATATAACTGTTTTGAAATATGAAATATTTGATTGCATTAAAATAAAATTTGATTTTTAAGCTTTTAAATAATTTTCGGGTTCTTATAGTTCTCATAATTTTTTTGCTCTGCAACCTAAATTGTGTCAACAGTATGAAGCTGAAAAACATCTAATTATTTTTTTTTTTTCTCACAATTGAGAAGAGCCTTATCAAGTTATACTGTAATACTACTGAATACTGAAATAACTTACTTTTTTATGATACTCATTTTAAGACTGTGAATTAAAGACCATTTATTTTATATTATATACATATATAATTATCTTTTTATTCCAGAAGTAAGGTAAAATTTACGTGTGAGGTAAAATAGTTTACGTTAATGTAACAATAAAATATAAAAAATTTGCAGCTTTACTGTTCGAACTTTTTTCGGTTTTTATTAAATAGTTTTAATCCTTATACATACATATATTTACAAAAGAAGTTTGCATAAGACGTTACAGTTTTTTGATATCTGTAACAACAACTAATTAGATGCTCTTACTAGATTCTTCAGTTTTTTCTAACTAATTCACTCCATTGAAATCCCTAAAATAATATACCAAAACAGTGGGTAAAATTTACCTCATATAAATTTAATGCATTTTTTTTGTCTATTAGGTAAATATACAAATCAGATATGGGAATCTGAGCCTTATATAACTTTATAAACATTATTATTAGTAGATTGACAAATTGTCACTTTATTATAGCGGGATATCGCACATAATATTTATAATATTTAATAAATATATGAATTTGTGTAATCTTAAAAAACTGATGAAAAATTAACATATAGAAGTGGAATACAAGTCTATAAAAAGGTTAACTGTGTTAACTGAGATAACACTAATAACATTAAATTGAACATGCTTATTAAAATTAAATTCTAAAATTAATTCAGTCTAATTGCAACGTCACATGTAGTAGCTCAAAGCTAAAACTACTAATTTTATGTTTTTGTAATCAAATTAAAACAAAACCAAAATGGCTGAAAAAGTAGTATTAGCCTATTCTGGTGGTTTAGATACAAGTTGTATATTGAAATGGCTTCTAGAAAAAGGTTATGAGGTATATTGTTTTATGGCTGATGTCGGTCAAAATGAGAATTTTTTGGTTGCTGTAGAAAAAGCTCTAAAAATTGGCGCAAAAGATGTTATTATTTCTGATATAAAATCTGATTTTGTTAATAATTATATATGGCCGGCAATACAAATGGGTTTGATATATGAAGAACGTTATTTATTGGGTACATCATTGGCAAGACCTTGTATTGCAACTGAATTAATTAAAATTGCAAAAAAATTAGATGCCAAATACATTTCACATGGTGCAACTGGAAAAGGAAATGATCAAGTTCGTTTTGAAATTTGCTCAATGGCTTTACATCCAGAAATAAAAGTAAGTAAAAAACAAGATACTATAGAAATGTTTGTCATATTTAATGTTATTTTGTTTGATTTAATGTTTCACATAAATAGATAAATTTATTAATATTATTTTTAAAATTGGTAGATAATTGCGCCATGGCGTGATGAGGAATTTTGCAAAAAGTTTCAAGGTCGTAAAGATTTATTGGACTATGCTAAAAAACATAATATTCCAGTTAGTGCAACACCAAAAGAACCATGGAGTACGGACGCAAATATAATGCATATCAGTTATGAATCTGGTATATTAGAAAATCCTAAAACTGTTGCACCAGATCATTTATACGAAATGACAAAAAATTTCTCTGAGACACCAAACTATCCATATCATCTTGAAATTCATTTTAATGTAGGTTTACCTACAAAAGTTAAAGACTTAAAATGGGGTAAAACATATGAAAACAATGTAGAAATATTAAAGTTTTTAAATGAAATTGGTGGTACTTATGGAATCGGAAGAATTGATATTGTTGAAAATCGTTATGTTGGCTTAAAATCACGTGGTATTTATGAAACTCCTGGAGCTAGTATATTATTCAAAGCTCATCAAGATTTAGAATTATTTTGTTTAGATCGTGAAGTTTATCGTTTAAAATCGTATTTGCGTGATCGTATGGCCGATTATGTTTATAACGGTTACTGGTTCAGTCCAGAAGCTGATTATACAAAAAATTGTTTGAAACTTTCACAAAAAACTGTTGACGGAGTTGTTGTTATTGAATTACGATCAGGTTTTTGCCGAGTTATTGCACGTGAATCTAAAAAATCATTGTATAATCAAGAATTAGTTTCAATGGATGTTCATGGTAATTACAAATCAGAAGATGCAACAGGATTTATAAATATAAATGCTGTACGTATAAAGCAATACTATAAAACATTTCATAATGATGATAATTAAGTTCAATTTTTGATAAAATAAATATATAAAATAATTTGTGGAACTGATTTTTGAAATAAATCTTTTACTAATAAAATTTCAACTACCTATTTACTAAATATTTTCGCTATTTGAGTTCCTATTGATTTATTTCTCATTTTAACAAATTTAGTAATTAAACACAGAAACTTTATTTACAAAGATTTTTATCAACATACAACAGCTGAAAGTATAACTAATAAAAATCTGAACTTTTGAAATAGAAAAATTTCTACATTTAATTTTTGACGACTATTTCGTTTTTGACTCCAGAAAAAGAATACACGAATCACGCCCTATGAAATACAAGCTCTAAAAAAAGAAATATTAATATTTCAGAGAGGTTATATATTATTTTGACACTTTAAAATTGCAAAGTCATTATAGGGCAGCATCACCTCTATTTTGCATATTTTTAAAATAAGAGCTTTCAGATTTTAAAAATTATTTTATTTGATCAGGGTGACATCTGACTACTCTGAATCTGATTAGATCCAGTAAGAATGTTCCCTATAGAATAAGGAAAAATAGGCTATAATTTAAAATTTTATTAAGTATAAACTTTTATAGCAGAGTAACAATTAAGAAAAATGCTTTTTTTCTGAAAATCTTTAACAAACCTTTAAGATTCTAAAACAAAAATTTTAAAGATTTTAATATGGCCTTTCAAACAAAAAAAAAATTTTTTTCGTAAATTTTAAAAAAAATAACTTCTTATAATTTTATTATAAAATACATTAAATTCTTATAATATTCCTACATATGTATATAAGTATATAGATGTGCATACTTGAAGGAAACAATCGTTTCAAAAATAAATTATAGTTACTTAAATAAAACTGATATTGAATTGTAAAATACATTTAGAATTTATACAAAGAATTATAACAGTTTAATATAGTGTAATTTTTTTAAGAAAAAAATAAACAATCCAAAGGCGAAAAAATTATAACAATTGTCAAAATCCAGAATATTAATATGTCAGCAAAATCACTATAAAAAAATTATTTGTATCAGAGAGATTTTAAAAAATTACACGGAAAAATTTTAGTGTAGGCGCTTTTATATACATGTACATACTTTTTCAGCAGCTTTTATAAAACCTACTTAAGGTTGTATGGAATAACCAATTTTTTTTATATCTTTAAATTATTTGTATGTATATGTCAACTTTTGTGTTTTTTTTTTTTTTTAATTCTCTCAAAATGAAAATTATATTAAGAATTCAATGAACTTTCAATGGAAAAAAATTTTCTCCTTTAAGTTATTTACACACAACAAAAAAAAAAATCGTTAAATTCTTTTACATTATGACGTATGTTTATACATAAGTACATAATATAATATATTCATATTATACATATATGTATATATGAACACATATTTTTGTATATATTTTTGTATATACAGTAACAACCCTTTTAACGGGAACCATGTGTTGAAAAATTTCGTTTCGAATTCAGTGCAATGAGAGCAAAACTAAAACTATGAGATCCGAATTTATATACTGGAGAAAATTTGGGAAAAATAAATACAAAACATATGTACGTACTATTCGCTAAAATTGTGTTCAATTAAAATTTAATTTAATTTTTGAACTTTTTAGTTTAATTTTTTTTCTAATTTTGATAATTTTGAATCATATTATGTTAAAAAACAATATGTGAAGTAAAAATACAAAAAAACAAATTTGAACTTGTTTTGAGTTAAAATACGAAAATTTAGGTATTAATTTGTTTGTAAATATAAAGTTCCAGTAAAAAGGGATATTACTGTACCTGTATAATAAATATGCTTAAATTATTTTCGTAAATAAACTAACAATAAGTAAATATGTTTTGTACAATTCGCGAGAGTAATTACGAGTATATCAAAACATTTATCATTTTTAACAATTAGTTTTTGCAAATGTAGTAACAGATGCATTAAGTGCAAAAAAAACACAACTAATAAATGACAATCACTAGTGTTAGCAACAAAAACTGAAACTCATGATCCTAGCGTCAAAAAATACTGTAATACCTTTGCAAATTGTTCACAATTTAAATATTCAAATACATATGTACTTATGCGTGTATAAACAAAATGTTTTCCACAGTAATTTTTTTTTTAAAAACAACAAATAAAACCAATTTTATACGAGAATTCAGTTGAAAAGATTTTAATAATTAATACTTAAAATTATAAGAAAAAATTCCAAATTAGAAATTTTTTAATTTCAAGTAAAATTTAAATTATACAAGTTTACATAAGTAGATCGTTTTCAATAATAGATAAGAACTTGCGATAAGAGAACTTCAAATGAATATCATCAATTCATAATGAAAATTAATATTAATTGTATGTCAGTTGTGATTTGACAAACTACTGCATACTTTGTGGCGCAATGTAGCAAAAATTCGTATGCACTTATAGTAAAGTATTTATGTATATATATATATAGCTATATATATAGCTATATATCTATGCATATATAAATGTAATATAGCTTCACATGTTAATATAGATTTTAGACACATCTAAATTTAATTTAATTTATATTTATAAATACATATATTAAATATGTTTAAAATTTCGTGAATGATATTTTTTTCACTAGAAAATCAACTGAATCTTTATCATCATGAAAACTGGTCAAAAAAAAAATAATTCAGTGTTTTTTTATTGTTTGATTTGTTTCTGTTTTTCTTCAAACAAAACATACAAAATAAATACACATACATAAACATTAACAAGAATGTATGTTATGTATTTATGTACATAAGTATAATATGCAAAGAAACAAAAACAAAAGTAAAAAAAAAAAGCAAAGGAAAGTATTCTGTTGTTTTGCCTTTAAGAAAGCAAAAATTTAAAAATAGAAGTGACCTTGTGAATGAAAACTAATTATACAAATATTATACATACCGTATTTATATAAGAACAGTAACTGTCTATGAAAGTCGGAAAGGTATTTATTAAGTGTTCTTGATTTCCTACCATCCCCAAAAAAAGTGAACTTGTCACAAATCTTAACGAAGAATTCAAATAGCAAAAATAATAATTTGTTCAAATTTTACAAACAAATTTCACCAAAATCTTTTAATTCGTTACCTAATCTATCACAGTTCACATCATAAAATTTACTCCTAAAAATTTGTTTCATATCATAATAAACGCGTAAAATGGTTAAACTCTCCAGAAAATGCAAGTGTGAAGTAATAAGGGGAAGTGCTATTTCGATAGGTTCGGGAACGGCCTAACAATTTTATGTTCCTTTAATATTCTCAGTTTATATGTTAACTTTTTTCCCATAAGCATAAACCGTTCTTAATACTTTACCTTTGGAATTGATAAAGCGGCATATTATAATTTGACAAATACACAATTTTTATGCAAATTTAATTATACCTCACTGTATAATGAAATTTGGGTATAATTTAAAAACAATATACATACAAAATATATGTATGTATGTATATAATATTTTAAGAAGAAAAAATATAAAAATTCCTAAAATACCAATAAATTTAAAGCTGCGTTAAACATTTTTTTTTTTCATGCACATTAAGGAAGGTATTTACGAATATTATTAAAAATTTAAATAAGTGTATGGTATTAATATTTTATTGGTACAATTATTTAAATTTTTAATAACAAACTTTTTGTATAAAGCAATTATATTTTGGCGATTGTTGATTAATTACGAAAACATGTTTTCTGCATAAATTGGAAATAATTATTAAATTAACTTGGGATACTTAAGGACTATATGGTACTTTAATCTTTTTCTCACACTTTTATAACAAAAAAAAAAACATCTACAAATTTAATTGCTTCTAAGAGTCTTTAAACTCAACATGAAAATTTATTAATGGCACAGCAATGTTCTATATAGAGTTTTACGATTGCGTCATTCGGGTGAAATAGTTTAATATTCGCATAGCAGAGCAGTTTCTTATTCACACACTTAATTATAACTATGTGATCTTTCGTAAAAAAAAAACTATTTTTGCATTCATAAAAGAAAATTCAATTAAACATTATACATACACGTACTTAAGTGGGTATTAACTGCATGCTTTTACAATCTAATATATTCTATTAGATTGTAAAAGCATGAAATTTTACTGCGAAGTCTTTCATTAATAATTTATGACAAAAAAAAAACTATTGAATAAATTTTGTTTTGAATACGGAAGTATAAAGTTTTCCTCAAAAAAAAAATCCTAAAAAATCTCCCCCAAAATCTCAGAGTTAAAAAAAAAACCAAAATCAGGGAAACTTGTTCACGGTTTGTCATCTACTCAGCATAGTTAATAATCGTACAAAACTGTACATATATAAATAAATAAAAATATAAATAAATAAGTATAGTAAAATATTGTTAATAAAGAGATAGAAAGAGAGAGAAAGAGTTAAAACGCGAGAGAAAAACAAAAACGCAAAAGAAGAAATGGAGCAGCAGGAAAAAAAATTGACACAATTCACCTGTGCTTGATGGATTTGCTTTGTAGTGGGCGTTGTAGCTATTATTGTCGCGATGCTGTTTTCTATAAGCAAAAAAAAAATACAAAAATCTAATAAAAATAATGAAATAAGGTCTTAAATTTGTGTCAACAACAGTTATCTCTGTCGATTATAATGATTAAATAAATTAAAAGAAAAAAAATTTTGATCAATGTGTTCAAATTTTTCCCATTTGCAAAAGTTTTTTTTAATAGAATTGCCAATAGTTCTTGATTACGGCTTACTATTGATAGTATATACAATTTAAGCCTTATTTAAAATATTTTATATTAATCCTTTTACATCTTGTAATCGTTAGATCGAAGATAAGAATCGACGTAGAAATCATTTAATTCAAGGAAAATTAATAGAGACATAATTATTATAGAGGTAGTAACTATTCACTTACTCTATAACGTAAAAACTATGAGAGCAAAAGTTCAAATTGCTTAAGTTTAACTACAAGGTGTACACGTAGATATTTTAATGAAATTATTGCATAATCAATTGTTTTATTGAATTCTTATTGACCTTTAATTTAATTTTATTGAGCTGATCTTATTAATTCTCGCTATTTATTTACAATTTGATAGTAAAACAAAATAGATGCAAATAAATTTTATATAGGTTG